GCAATACAAGGGAAAGCAATGACCCAGACACCTTACACCAGAGTCCCGCTAAAGTCCAACTTTTGCCCTAAATCACAACATCAGTCGTCTCGGAGGACTTTACAAAGTTGTCAATTCACCAACACCAGATCAGAGAATCAAACCGTTCAAACACATAGGGGACAGAAGACCATGTCCATAAATGTTGATAAATGTCCCGGATCATCTGTCCTGAGTCCCCCCCTGGATCTGCAAGAAACAAGTCAAACAACTATTTGTGTTCTGACTTTTTGAAACACTAGCGTTTGATATGGAGACAATTTTAAAGTTTAGCATCCATTAAAAACGATACAACTCTCACATTACAGACTCGAACGCAAGGTGATCGCTGCTTTCAAGCCTCCACTTATCCCGCCTGCTGAGCTATTAAATCTCAGCCCGTCTTAGGAAAAAGTTAAAACTGAAAATTGCATTGCCGAACGCACCTCGCCACTTAAGCATAATGAACTCAGTGGAATGCAATGCCGAAAATAGGAGATGTCTAAAAAGCATACTTTTGGAGCCGCGGGGGTTAGTACCAGGCCATTGAGCATCCAAAAAGAAGTCTCATTAAAAACATATTTTAGCGTGGGCTCCGGCTCGGGATGAGTGGTAGTTAAAGACACTTGTCCCATCGAGTGGAAGGTGTTCGCGGTCAGAACTGTACACGCCCCAGAGCTTTCGGCACAGTTTTCATATGGATTAATTGGATTGTTCTACCACTTTTAAATGTTTAATGAACCCAACACCGGATTACAAAGACAGCCTGGAGTGGAATATTGTGGCCAGTTGAGCTGAATTTGGTTACGCAACTCTAGGAAATGACAGTTGCGCTGCTTTGTTTCAGCTGAAGCATCAGTAAAAGGAAAGAGAAGACCAAGGGTAGTTTTAATTGGAGATTTGAACGTGATTTTTCATGTTTGATTTTCAGAATCCATTGACACCAATTAGGGCTTTAATTAACAACGATTTTGTTTATTGATGGTGGTGATGATCCAGGACACTCGACATTTATCAACATTTATGGACATTGGTCTCTGCCCCTTATGGACCAATGGCTCTATGTGTTTTTTATAGGGATGCACGTTTTCCAAAATTTCCTTAACCGTTAGTTGCACCTCGTGGCGGTAATTAATCGATTAACCGTTGCCCACCCAGAAAAAAGTGAAAGAGCATGCGCGTTCCTTTTTTATTTTTATTTGTGCAATTATCAGAAAACAACTGCAAAACACGCCAATCATATAGCTTATTATTTTAAACAACGCTAAGATAGGCTAACAATTTTAAAGTTCAAACATAGGGCTACAGCGTATTTTAACGTCACAACGAACCCAAAAACTTAGTTTTTATTCATGAAAATAAGCATGTCTACGTGTTCAGGGCTTAACCGTGTGCGCAGTCTATTTACGGTCAATCCAGCTGTTGAAAAGACCCTTTCTGATGGAACTGATGTGCCAGGAATGGCTAAATACTTCTGGGCAAGATTAGCGACTCTGGGGAAACGCGTTGCGTTGGTTTTCCACCAGTGCACTGGGTTTACTTCAAGGCTGATTGGGTTTTCTGTAAGAAAGTTTTTTACTTCTATTTCCGAAGTATTTATTGCGTTACAGAAATATGCGTTTCCAAGCAATAATGCCATTGCTGTCGCTGTGTTGTCCTCGGGCCTTGAGGATGCGCTGTCCCGAGGCCTTGACGCGCTTTCCTGCCCCTCTTCTCCGTTGTCTCCATCAGCTACCAGTTCTCCCTCACCATCTTCCATGCACGGGATTTTTGCTGCCAGATCGCACAGTATTTGATTGGCCAATGTTTTTTTATCAGCGGACAAGAAACTCAGATGCTTGTGGCGTGGGTCCAACATTGACGCGATGAATGCAGGCGATGATAGCGTTTCTCCGTTGTCAATCTACGCACGTAAATTAATTATATTTAATTTTTCATCAGCATGGACATTATGATTAAATTGTGTTAATGTTGTGCGTATTACATACCTTCATTCTTGTGGCCAGCGAGGTCCGGACTTTAGCTTTGAATTCCATTACGTGACGGGTGTCATTTTCTTTTTCTTGCAAGTGTCCATTGATAAGTCCGAATGTTATAGGATACGTGTTTGAAATAGAAACCTCACGTTCAGCAGACATAACTGTAGTCGCGCACTTGAGTGCCCTGAGGGTTGGCATTGTATCTTCCATGAGCTGCCAGTGTTCGTCTTTTAGCTCCAAATGCCTTGCGTCTTGCAGTTTGGTTACAGATCTATCAGAGAGCACCGCGGTTATGGCCCAGCGCTGTTCCAACAAGCGCTCGAACATCTCTGCGACGCTGTTCCAACGCGTCTTACAGGACTGAATAAGTTTGTGAATTGGAAGCTTCATTTGGTCTTGTTTCCTTTCGAGCGCTTTGGACGCCACTGTGCTGTGGTTAAAATGACCCACAAGCTTTGCAGCTGCTGAGATGACACGATACAAATGTAAAGAAAAACCATCATTTATTGCAAGTTGAAGGGTGTGGGCAAAGCATGGAACAGACTCCCATTCAGCGTCCCTGTTGGCGGCAACAATGTTTTTTGCATTGTCGTGTACACAAGCAGTCACACGGCCCGTGAGCCCCCACTTTTCAATAGATTCTTTGATCTTTTCTGCAAGATTTTCAGCTGTATGGCGGGCAGACATCGATTCAGTTAAAAGCACAAATGATTTTAATTCCCAGTCCGAGTCGATTAAATGGCTAGTGATTGTTAGATAACTTTCCGTGTTCAGTGCAGTCCAACAATCCGTAGTAATAGCGATCCATTCCGCTGTCTGTACCAAGTCCTTCACGGTTTTTTTTTTATCCTCGTATCTTCTTTCAATGCGTCTTGTGACTGCAGAGCGTGATGGGACTTTGTATCGGGGTTGAGTTAAAGCCATCAACTCACGAAATCCAGCGCCTTCCACCATGCTTATTGGCATCATTTCCTTCTCAATCATTCGGCAAATACCTTGAGTTATTGATTCGGCTTTTTCGTCATTGCACCTGTTCTGAGCAAGCATCGTGTTGATTGTAGGCTGGGTCGAGGCCATGGTCGATGCACTGCCACTCGCGCAAGACACAGTCGGGTGGTGGCTATTTATGTGGTATAAGAGCGAGCTGGTACTTGATGCATATTTAAGTAAAGCATCACAATACTTGCATTTTGCCGTAACCTTATCCTTTTGTAGGATAAAATGCTCCCACGCTGTACTTTTTCTCCGCTTCATCATGCATGAACATGTGCTATTGCTGCTTCTGTTGTTTTGACCTATGCGTTCAATTGTTGTGTGGCACTTGTCTGGCCTCTAGTGGCGCAAACATGTAAACGCAGTTATTTGGTCAATGTGCGCATACTCGGTCACGTGCTTAATTGCAGTTAATCGATTAATCGGTTAACTATGAACACCCCTAGTTTTTTATCATGTTATTTCTTGTGTTTGAATTATTTGATTCCCTGATATGTGTTGGCGAAATTGTCGGTTTTGTCATCCGAGATAACTACTGTTGTGATTTAGGGCAATACACAAATAAATTGAATTGAACTGAATTTAATTATTAATTACTTGGTCGATTATAAATGTGATTGATGTAAACATTCTTTGTGAGCACGTTTTCTTTCTTGGAGGACTTTACAAAGTTGTGAGTAACTTTTTTGTTTCATAAATAAAAAATTTTCATGAATACTTTTTTTGTGTTAACCAATCAGACCACAACAGGCTGGCTTTAGTGTTTAAGGGTGAGACTCTTTTTCATCCTTCGTTCCTTTGACCGTCCAACAAACCTGTATGAGGTAGAAATATGCACTATTGTTAGTTTGGTAGTTAGTTAGAAATGTTAGTCGGAACTGTTTAGAATTTGTGTTTATATGGATGTGTTTTTCTGCTGCTGGACACCTGCATTTCTCCTACGGGGATCAATAAAGTATCTATCTATTTATCTATATATCTAAATATAAGTCAGAATCTAAAAAGGCTGAAGTGAAAATCAGGGATAGGACCAAACAATATTGCTAGGGAGTTAACTAGTTTTCATGTGTATTCATTTTCACATTCAAAGTTAGGGACTTTGGAGGCTTGATGTATTTGTAGCTTTGAGTCGACTTAAAGAAGAAAAAAAAACCCCCGCAATATCCATCCATTTTCTACCCCTTAATCCATTATTGATATCAAAATATTTAGGGATTGGACTTTATGATAATTATGATCAAAAATACAACAAACAAATGTATGCACCACAAAATCTAAACGATGAAATGCGTGAGGCCGATTCTCAGCGGAGACCGAGCAGTTTTACGCTGCTTGGCTTGTCGTGTGCATTGACAGAAGGTAATGTAGCATTTTAAACGTTCTTGGCAGAGTCTCGATGCGACTTTAGTCACAGAACGTTAGACCCCAGCTTTATTGTGCCATACAGAGCCACTTTCTTACCATCAACAGCATCAATATTAACAGCAGAAGGAGTTTGATGAGAAGTTGAAGTTTGGAGGTTGATGTAGAATGTCATTATCGTATTTTTTCTTTTTCTTTTGCCATAAAACCACTTTCCATTTCATTTACAAGATTCTCTACTTAAACAAGCAAACATAGATCCTGAAACATTAGAAGTGATGTGAAACAATATCTTCACGTAAATGTATTTTTGTGTAACGTCTATCCCACAAACTGTAAAAGAAATGACTATCACTAAATGTTTTACAATTATAAGTCTGGGTTTCAATTTCTTGCCTTATGTCTGGACTTAAAAGTTCTGAAACCCATCAATAATCTAAAATAATTACATTACTTTATACATTTACGGCTGCAATATATACCGTATATTTTTTTCAGAATGTCATTTTCACATTTCCACCAACGCTGAAAACGTTGTCTGGAGGCTTTTTACATGTTTCCCAAATAAAACGTCCTTGTGAATTTTGAATGAGTGAGTCTTCTTCTTCAGAGCTGGTATCCAGGGCTCTGTTAATAGATGCAGTTTGGATGGGATCGTATTTAAACGCCTACACTCTCACTTTTCGGTTTGTGACTGATGAACTGAAAGCAACGAGCCGCAGGAGACTGGCTCTGATTCTCGGTGCGACTGTGGGGTGTTGCGTCACGCCAATTTTTATCTGAAGGCAACATCCAGAGAGAAGCACGGTTAAGACGGAAAGACAGGATGGTCGGAAAGCTATTCGCTATTATCGCCCAGTTGTCCTATTTTTTTCCATTTGAGACTACTTCAGAGTCAGTTAACTTGCCATTTGTGCAGCAGTCCTCAGTGTGCATCAGACAAATAGATACATAGAACAAGATAAAAATTACAGGAAACATATTGTTACTATAAGATAAGATAAGATAAGATAAACCTTTATTAGTCTCACAGTGGATACATTTCCGTGTCATCGTTGCGCACATTACAGCAGAGAGAGGAAATAAGAGCACTCAGATTGCACACATCAAATAAGTCTATTATTTAAGATAATAGACTATAAAATTAAGATAAGAATACAATAAAATAAACTCTGGGCTATAATTGCACTTGGTTCGAAAGTATTTACAGATGTCTATGTACTTTAGCAGCGGAGAATATGGGAATATGCATATGAACAGAATAAATATCAGAAATAATGTCAACAGGTAAAGTGATTGGTGAATGGCAGAAATATCAGATGGATATGTAATAATACAGTAATACTAATAACAGGTAAAGTGACTGGTGACAAAGTTACTAGTGAATTATCAGTGACACTTGTGCAGACTCAGCAGTTCTTGTTACACATTCTCGTTGTACAGCCTGACAGCATCAGGGAGGAAGGACCTGCGAAACCTCTCCTTCACACAGCAAGGGTGAATTAGTCTATCGCTGAAGCTGCTCTCCAGAGCAGAGGGAGTGTCCTGCAGGGGGTGACAGTCATGGTCCAGCATAGATGTTAGTTTGCTCAGGACCCTCCTGTCCCCCACCTGCTGCATTGTGTCCAAGGAACAGCCCAGGACTGAGCTGGACTTCCGGATGTTCCAGCTTCTTCCTGTCCCTCTCTGTGATGCTGCTATGAAATAAAAACAAAAAAATCTGTTTTAAATTCAAGTGCAGGAGCAGATTCGTTGAGTTTGAGTGTTTGAGTATTAAAGTAGCAATATGTAAGATTTTTTATGTCAAGTCATTATGAAATGGATGACTTGACATAGGAAAGGAATAAAACCAGGATTTCTATCTTTGTGAAAAAGGTGTTGGTAATAGGTTTGTTGTTGACAAAACTCTTGTCTATTCAGTTATTATGTTCCCAGCTGGATTCGTCTGCATATCTGGCAACCTGAGTCAGGGAGAATGAGAGAGGTTGCAGTATCACTTTTGGCCAGATCTAACAGTAATAGGAGTGTCTCAATACAACACAAACAACATACTGGATATTTCCCATTCCTAAAATCAGAGACCTCTGGGAACACCAGGTGCCACAGTGGGGCGGCTGCGACTGTGGCTGTAAAGTGCCAAACTGTGGTTGTGTCCTTAGGAAAATGTCTGTGGTGTGTGTGGGTGTGTGTGTGTGAATGGTTGATGGTAGTGGGAGGGCCTGATGTCAGTGTGTCCCAGGGCAGCTGTGGCTACTGTTGTAGTTTATCCCCACTGTGTATGGAGTGAACGGATTACATTTGAAGCGTCCAAAAACCACTATATAAAACAGATTATTATTATTATCTTTATTATTAAGTTAATCCGTGCATCTCACAGATAAACACCTCTTCATCATCCTCCTCGTCTTCCTCAGGTGTGTGCTGGTGCCCCTGCTGAGCGTGAAGCCCCCGCAGCAGGCCCTCTTCCTGCTGGTGGACTCCATAGACGAGGGCTGTCAGCTGGGGGAGGGGGAGCAGAGGACCACCCCCGGATCCCCCAGGACCATCGCCGAGCTGCTGGCCGCTCACCACGACTTCCTGCCGCCGTGGCTCCTGCTCATCTGCTCGGCGCGCCGCCAAAACAAGGCCATCACCAAACTCTTCACAGGTACGGACGATTTCTGTGTTTTGTTTTGTTTACCATTATAGCGAGACGGCATCTATATCACTTACGCACCTCCAGCTGTCTGTAGTACCACCACAAACTTATTAAGATGAACAAATACTTTATCCATCCCACAGTGGGGAAAAGTCAGTGAGCGATAACTCTATACTGAAATAACGATCTCTAACTTAAGCATAATAAAGAACCAAGTATAAAATCCTGTATTTTCTAGTACAAGATCCTTGTGCAATGATAATCTGAATTGTGTCAGAATGTGCAAGTAAGTAATGTTTTTTTATATAGCGCATTTTACAGTCCAACCAAAAGCACTTTACAATGTTCAGTAATCAGATATTTTCCATTCACACTCGGTGATGACGGAAGCGAGACGCCGAACACACTGAACCAGCAAAGCCCCCATTCAACACCACCCATTCAATCATTCATTCATTACATTCAGACCTTTTGAACATGTTTTTAGCGGTAGGGGAAACCGGAGCACCCGGAGGAAACCTACGCATAAAGAGTAATAATATAGAACCACCTGTGTCACTGCCGCTTTACTGAGTCAATGAGTCCCGGGATTTTAGAATAATAATGGCAGTCACTCAATATTGATTAAGACTCTGGTTTTCTATATTATGCTAAAGTTAGACATTTTATACTTGCTTCTTTATTATGCTAATTTTAGAATTTATTGTATTTTAGTATAGGAGGAGGGGTTATTATTCTTTGATCTTGTGCTGTGTGCTCCTCATTCTGTTCTGTCACTGCTGATGCAACTCTGACATTTCCCCACTGCGGGACAAAAAAAGGATCTTAATCTTAATCTTAGAACGCCTCTTGTCACAATTGGGATACAACATTTAAATGAACGAATGAAAAAAAAAATCAACCCAGCTGACTGGACTCCTTCACTGTATCCTGTCTCTGTCTGATCTGTATAAACAGGGTACGGCGTCCACTCTGAGCACGTAAAAAACCACAACAAGCCTCACCGTTAGCTTCCTCCTCCCCTCGCTCTGATCTGATACGAGTGGACGCCGCGGTACAAGACGGTCTTTGCACTTGTCAGTTCTGCTCTTGGTAAACGTCCGCCTCGCTATCCCCCCCCCCCACCCCCCCACCCCACTTCCCCTTTAATACGATGCATTTCACCTGGCCCCCGTGTGAGCCCAGTCCCTGTGATAATGCATATTCAGCGCTGGCTAATTGAAACGGCTGTACGACATCTAGACCGTGCCCCATAAGGATTAGGGTCACTGCTTGGACCACCACCCCTACACCCCCCCTACACCCCCCCTACACCCCCAACTCTCTGTTTCTACCCACCGCCGGACATCCCATAGCACCGCTTCACCTCGCTCGCTGTGCCCTGATGAGCTGGCAGCGTGTGTGGATCAAACGGCTGTGGGGGAGGACAGTCCGTGGGTGCTCAGTGCTGCTACCTCTGCTGGGCTCCTGTGTGTGTGTGTGTGTGTGTGTGCGTGTGTGTGGTTTTTTTTTTCTTTTTTTGGGAAAGCGCCGATGCGGGAGCCGGTGGTGACCTTGGAACGCCTCGTAAACAGTGATGTAACGGTATCCGCGGCAGATGCAGGTTCAAGGCTGGGCCAGCTGGGATCCGCTCGGAAATGGTTTGATGAGATTAGAGAGCGGTGGAGGGTTAGCTAGCTGCTTTTTTGTTTTTTTTCTAAGTGTGCGTATACCACAGGAACTTCCAGAGCAGTCCATTTCAATCCATCAATCCACTTTTATTTGTAGAGCGCCTTTTCCACACAGGGCAACACGGAAGCGCCTTATAACCCATATCACATCAAGCCTAAATCATAAACTTTAAAATCTACATAAACATCAAAAAATGCTACACCACAGGGAAAAAACATAAATAATCACACAGAATGTTAAAATCCTAAAAAAAAAAAAAAAAAAAAGAGTGAAGATAAACGGAACTGTTTTTTACCTGGATTAGAAAACTGCCAGAGTAGACAGGTGTCTCACATTTTCAGGAAGATTTGTCCAGATTTGACCCCCATGTTTAGTGTTGACTCTGGGATCAAATTACGATACTTTTTGACAAATTTGAGCATTTTTTGACTTATTTTTCATGACTTTTTGCAGCGTAGTCATTCACAATAGCTGCATCCACATAGTAAACACTAGCTTGGTGGATTCCGTGGTGCGTTGTGGTGGTCAGAGGCTGGAGCGTGTCCTGGATGTGCTGTGAGCTCTGAACGTGCCGTGGGCTGTCTTGCGCCGAATTCCACAAACCAACTGTGATCCAAGCTGCCCACTCCCAAATCGCAGAGACATGGCCGCCCACTCCATCCTCGACATCAAAAGTCCGCGCGATTCTCACATCGCAAACATTTACCCCCAAAAAAATATTCACCCCGCACTTCCTCAGGACATGGCACGCATCAATGACTCTCACCGCGGTGGTCCGAGCAGTGATTCGATACACATAGATAGATTTTTTCAATTTAGAACTTCTTTTGCAAGGGAGTCCTGGGCAAGAGGCAACAAAATTTACACACAGATAAATTACAGATTATGAAAACAGTTACATGTCAATGAAGACGTCTCTTGACTTAAAAGCAATCAAGGAAATAGGTTAATTTCTAGTACCAAGCAGAGTTTACAAATCCTTTTCCCCAGCTCTGTGCAAAACGCGCAGAGAGCGACACAAAATTATACTAAAATAATACTTAACTCAAATAGATTCTCTATCTTCTTATTTTAATAAAGAAGCAAGTCACAGATGTACTTTTCTCCCTTCACAAACTTTCATGTCTAAGTGTTAACAATGTGGATTTAACTAATGTTTGTGAACAATTAAATAGATCAAAATAAAAAAGCATAAACAGCTTGAATCTGAAGCCAGGGACCGGTCACCCCAGTGTTCGAGTCTGTGCTACCTAACTTGTTCCCCCATAAATAATATTGTACAAACACAATATATTACACAAAACAGAAATCTATCTTTAAAATGCTAGCTCATGTTATCTTTAGCATGAGCTAGCATTTGATAATTTGGGCTGAGAGCTGATTGGCTGAGTGAGGGTGGTCCCTTCTCTTTCACTTTTCTATTTGAAAACACATGGGTGGGGTTAGGTGGATTTTAGTACTTAACATCTTCTTTTGTGGTTTGAAAGTCTGAAAGTTCAGGACCCCAGCTTTAAGTCTGGGCCTATGGGGACATCAGCCGAAATCCTAACCCCTCGCCACCTTCTATTTTCTTCCTCACTGATGTAACCTTTTCCCTGTAGAGTTTGCGTCCAGCTTCATGTCTCAGTCTGAGGTGGCAGCTTTGCCTCTGAAGCACAAATATCTAAGTTATGCAAATGTATCTTTCTTTGTTTGCGTCATTCGTCTGCGTCTATCAAGCCCGGGGGCGCGTTGTGATGGCCTGCTCTTTCTTTGGCACTTGTCGGATAAACTGTCTGGCTCTTTGTGTCTGTATAAAGTTTGAAAGGAATTTTAATCTTAAAACAATCTGATGAGCTGCTTTGAAGCTGCCCTCTCCGTGTGGCCACCGTGGAGCTGCAGAGACTGTTGTGATGTAGAGTTTGAGTGGAGGCTCCCAGGTGCCACAGCGTTGTTTTGATTTGGATGAGAAAGAATATGTACTGAAAAGACTGTAAAATGCATTAAATTATGTTTTTTTTCCCTGTAAAGTGCTATTGTTCGAGACTGAGAAATCCTTTATTTGTCCCACTGTGGGCAAATGTAAGTGTTGCATCACACGTTACAGAACAGCCAGAATGAGTGAACGATAACTCTATACTAAAATAAATGAATAATAATAACGCATAAATTTTATATAGCGCTTTTTTTGGACACTCAAAGACGTTTCACATGTCATTATTCATTCACTCCAAACATGGGGGTGATAAACTACAACTGTAGCCACAGCTGCCCTGGGGCACACTGACAGATGCGAGGCAACCAGTTTGTACCAACAGCGCACACCAGACTCATTCTAATATGGGTGAAGTGTCTTGCCTAAAAGGACACAGCAGCAGATTGGCACTTTACAGCCACAGCCGCCCCACTGTGGCACCTGGTGTTCCCAGAGGTCTCCCATCACAGTATTAACCGGGCCCTGCCCTGCACAGCTTCAGAGGTCTGACGGGACTTGGCTTTTGCATGCCAGTATGGTCAAAAATAGGCAATGGGTTAACTGTCTTGAACAAGGACACAATGACAGCAGACATCAGTGGGAGTCGGTGTTGTGGGCTCAGACGCACAACCTTCAGGCTCAAAGGTCAATGCTCTACCAACTGATCCACTGTCGCCCCCAAAACATGTCTATCTCTAGCATAAAAATAAACCAAGTATAAATACTGTATATTCTATTGCAAAAAATATATAGTTGTATGTTTACACGTTCGCAGCAAGAGGGTCTTTGAATTATTATTGCAGATAAGTAAAGATATTCATTTAAGGGATAAGATTTAATTTAGGGATGACACAGGTATAAATATTGTCAGAAAAAATGCAACACAATGTGGCTCTCAGCCCAGTTTCAAACAGTCACTCATTAGGGCTCAATAGGTTGGCAAAATAGTACAGCGTTATCTAATGAGAAATATGAAAATAATGTTAAATAGATTTCTCAATTGTTAATTTTGTTAATGCAGTCATCTTTGTTGGAAAAACTCCAAATTGTGTAGACAAATTATTGCTGTTCACACACAATATGAAAGATTGAAAGCCTACAAAACAAAATCATCTTTATATATTTATTTATGTGCATTTCTGTTTTGCTCGCATTCACCGTCTATGAGTGTCTGAGTCTGAAAGGTTTGGTCCAATCCCTTTGAGTTTGTGCGTCACCCCTCCACAATAACTCGGTTTTATTTCTGCGTTTTGTAATTCTTCTGTAAGACCGGCTGCTTTTTTTTCCCCTTTTACAAACAGACTCACTCCCACGTCCTCTGCTTCCATCAGCGATTAGCATAAAGATTTGATCACTGGATCGTGAATAGCTTTTCTCGGAATCA